TTGTCTGTTGGACTCAGGGAATATTTATGGGTTCTTCTCTTTTCTTTCTTACTGGCAGTGAGAACTCCATCATTCTTGGTTGCGTTATTTATAATTTCATAAAGCTGTTTCGTGGCAGGGCTTATTTTATCCTGTGCTTAATCTCCGTCAAATAATGGTGCACCCAGGGAGCAAGGTGACCAAAAGCATTGCACGTCAGCGGTAGAGCGGGAAGTGGGTATTCAGAGCCTGCAACTTTGCATGGAACAAAGGGGCAAAGGTTGTGCATCTGAGGCATAAATTGGGACTTCGTGCATTTGGGGAGAGAAGGGGAGCAGAATTGTCTTGACCAGGCTTTGCCATGCCAGCCAGACTTCCTTCTCAATAGCAGTGATGTATAGTAATGAACCAAGATGCAGAACCATCACCAAGGCAAGATTGAAAAGGCCCTTGGAGTGAATAATTAGAAGCAGGTGATTACAGAAACAATAATTCATTGGAGGGAATGGGGAGTCACTTCTGTGAAATTGAGAGAATGGGAAGGTAAATATGCCCATAAATAAATCCTCAAGGGTGGATGCAGAGTTTTGAGCTTTCTCCTGCCCTGGTTTTATTCCAAGGTAATTTCAATAAACACTGGAGAGAGGGAGAGAGAAAAAATAATATAAATGCAATAAAAAATCTTTCAGGGAAGGAATAAAAAGGGTTCCTGCCAGAGAGAGATTTTATTGAAAGTTATTATAATACCTATCTTTAGTTTTATGGCCCTTAATACAGGGCCAAGTAATTTCAGTGCTGGGATTAAAAAATGAAATCCATATTTTAAAATAGGATAGCATGAATTATTCTTTTTAATATAGAATTTAGCTAATGTATAGGGCAGGCAAATATTTTCTCTCTATTATTCTCTCAAATGAAAGCACAAAACATCACTTTGTAGGGAGATGCCTTGTTCATATCATTTTGACTAGAAAGCCCTTATGGAGTAATTAGATACCTGAAGTGGTTAGTGTGCAGTTGCCCGTAGATAATAATACTAAGCATTTAGCATCTTCAGAGCACTGGGCAGGCATTAACTAATTAATCCTCACAATCCCCTTGGAAGATAGGTGAGTATTATCAACCTCATTTGACAAATGGGGAGAGACGCACAGAGAGGTTAAATGATTTTGCCTAAGGCCATGCAAACAGTTAGTGGAAGAGATCATAATAGAACCCAGGAGTTCCTGGTCAACAGGCCCATGCTTATTTTCCACTAGACCATGCTGTCTTGTAAAGGTGCATCACCCTGTGAAGGTCATGTTGGTCTCATGAGATGGTCTTGAAGTGACAGATTCCAGCTACAAGGCTTTCTGGTCTCCTAAGGGGCACATTTGCTCTAGTTTGCTGCTGCTCCTCATTGAAATACTACCTAGTATGATTCATATGTAGGGTATGTGAGCTGAAAGAAGTGCATGGAAAGCCAACATGGGCGGGCATTGAGAAAACAAATAGCGATGAAGGATAAGGCATGTCTTGGGGGAAAATAATACAGGATGGTAGGTGGCAAGATGGCTTACGGAATTAGTTCTTCCTGTTGTTTCTAGCGATCTTGGCTTTGGTCAAAAAATTATACTAGCTTTGGTGGCCTTTCTTTCTAATCCTCATTTTTGTACATACAAAACTATTACGTAGTCTGGCATTATCAGTGGCTGCAGTTGGGGTGGAGGGTGAATTAGCTGGTCAGGACTGAGGTGTGTTGTGTTGGAGAGCAGTCCTGGAATAGCAAGACGTGCTGCAGGTCAGGACCGGCAGGATTGTTAGGTGTAGAATTGGGCACCATCTGCTTGCATTTTGCCTGATTCTTGTCTGCTCTAGTGGGCCCCTTTCTCAAGGCCCCGAGATTTTCTTACATATTTTAAAAAAGATAAACTTAAAACACAGTGTTTAGTATTGGGAACGTGGTGGGGTGACAGAGGAAAGCCACTTGCAGTAAATCATTAGAATTCAGTTAAGCATCAGAATTGTATAAGCCTTTTCCCTTTAAACCATTTATCTAGGGCAGTGGTTCCCAAACTTGTTCCGCCTCTTGTGCAGGGAAAGCCCCTGGCAGGCCGGGCCGGTTTGTGTACCTGCCGCATCTGCAGGTTCGGCCGATCGCGGCTCCCTGGGAGCCGCGTTTGGCCGAACCTGCAGACGCGGCAGGTAAACAAACAGGCCCAGCCTGCCAGGGGCTTTCCCTGCACAAGAGGTGGAACACATTTGGGAACCACTGATCTGGGGGATGTACATATGTGGCCTGTGCAATATATGCGATTCTCAGAAGATTATAGGTACCAAATATATGTCTTGCACATCCCTCCTCTGCCCACCCTGTGCTGAACAGACAGGCATTCTAGCCAATTCATTTAAAGTGAGAAATCAGCCTTAGCATTTTAACAAAACATCTACCCCTGTGAAGATGTCAGTTCAGCCAAAGAAAGAACCTTGGGACCAAAGCCAACAAGATCTCTTTGTACATGATACTTGAAGTTCCTTACATTCTTCTATCTCAAGAATGTCACATGTGGTTCAGGAAGTCCAGAGCAAAAAGGTCAAAAATAGACTGTTGTTTCCTCAGCCTGGTTCCTAAGAAGGCCAATTGCATAGTCAAAGATAACACAATACATAGAGTAGGTGGTCTGATGCCTGTTTAACTAGCTGCTCTTCCAAAGCATCACCTTCATAGGTCCCATGTAATCCATTCCCCAGGGGCCACTGCAGGATTGTGCCCTCCAAATGTTTCCTAGTCCTCTGTCTGTCATGTCCAAGATTAAGTGATTCATGTGATGGGACTTCCAGTACTAACTATGGGCTATTTTCTATGGGAGCCTCATAGATATTCAGCTTTTATTTTTCTACATCTTAATTTCACCCCCTTACTCCTACTCTCATCCATGGCCCACCCTAACTCACTGAAATCAGAGAAATGTTAGGTTGGACCTGGTACCTTCAGCACCACAGCAGGTGTGACTTATTTTGAGGTAATTGTTTTGTTCAGCAGCTCAGAAAGAGTTTTGTGTGAAGAAGTGCCTGGTACATTCAACAGTACCTCAGGTATGTTCTACCTGGATGTACTGACTAACTTCTTAATATACTAAACAGGAAGAAGAGCAATGTTCAGCTAGCACTTGGATTCTCCAGCAAAAACCCTACTAAATGAGTGTAACCCTTAGGAAAATGACCAATGGATGCAACCTGTGAGTGGCTAGTGACTAGTGTCTGGGTGTTCTGGGGTTGAGAGATATTCTGCAGCCAAAAGGAGGAGGGATTAGATCAGGGCTTCCCTGCCTCACCTCCCCTACTGGCTCCCACTCCCTCTCTCAACTCAAGAAGCAGAAAGGGAGAGTGGCGTGTGCCCACATCAGAGGCTGGTGTGGGGCAGAGGTTTCCTGGCACAAGTCCAGGACAGCTCTGTGCTAAAGAACAATCGGGTAAGGAGCCTGGGGCTGGCTGCTTTCTTGAGAAAGAGCCCTTTGAGATAGTCATATGGGGGTTTGGAAGCTAAGGGAGCTCTCCTTTTGAGGAAAAGGGAGAGTCCTTTGGTGGAATGAGGAGTTGTGTATTTGTAGTGACCTGAAGTCCCCAGGATGAATACACTTCTCCTGGGAACCTAAGTACAATGTACTGAGGAAAATTACACTCCTCCTGAATTTCTATGAGTTAAGTAGCAGCTTGTGCCAGCCCCAGCAAGGACAGTTCTTACATGGAACTTTCACAAGTCCTTGCACTGATCCCATGACTCTGTCTAATCTGCGGCTTTCTGCACCGCGCCAGGAAGGAACAGGAAAGAGGGACTGTTTCAGCGGCAAGCTTAGGTTGAGCTGACACTGCTGAGGGTAGGATAATTTTGTACTATGTGCAGGAACATTATAACCTGTGTCCGGAGGCTGCCACAAAATCTCCCTAATGGTCCACATTACTAATTCAACTAATTATAGCAATTACATGAAGGAGTTGCTGCTGGGGAGAGAAGCCATTACACCTCTCCCTAACACACTGCAGTACATGCTGCTCATTAATTAGACCAGCAACAACAACAAAAAAATTACCAGCTGGAAACTGCAAGTAACATACTGAAACTCACAAAGGCCAGGGATATTCTTAGTTTGCCTTAAGCCTTTCAGTGCCCGATCTTCCTTCCCACCTGTTGTACTGCTGCTGGTCCATTACCATTTGACTCAGTCCCTCTACAGTTAGCAGACCAGACTATACTTTGTACTATGTGGACTTATCTGGAATGGTCAGTGGCACAGAAGCATTGTGCCTGGATCACTTAGCAGTGCAGCAGTTGTGCTCTGTCTGGGTATACCTGGAATGTTCCCCCGTGCAGCAGGTGCATTCTACCAGGAATGATTAGCAGAGCAGCAGGTGCCCTCAGCCTGAGTGCAAATGATGTGCTTAGCAGCACAGCACGCTTGTTCTCTGGGGGCAACTGATACATTTGGCTGCACAGGAGGTGCTGTTACTTGAATGCATCTAGTTTGTTGAGCTGTACAGTAACTGCATTCAACCTCGAAGTCCATAGTATGCTCTCACACGCAGAATGGATGCCTTCTACTTGGACCTGTGTGGTATTTCAGCAGAACACCAGATGTGCCCTAACTGGACATACTGTAACTGGTATTTTTGGCTGTATCTGGACCATTTGCCAGCCCAGCGGGTGTTTTACGTGGGTGTACCTAGTCTGTTCAGTAGCACAACAGGTTCAACTTGGTATATTAAACAGCATAGCAGGGACACTGTATCTGTACATACCTGAAATATTCAGCAGCACAGTGGAATAATTTTAACTGGTATAATGGAAACCAGCATTATGGAAGGGGTATAATACCTAGACATGTCTGGAATTTTGAACAGAACTCAAGCGTTTTAAAAAGATGCAATTGAAAATATTTTCCCAGGAGAGTAAACTGCCTCTGTTACAATCTTTTGGGTAACAAACGTCTTATCACTTTTTTTCTTTTTTCCCCTCTTCTTTGTTCCCTTCCTTCATGTGCTAGACCACTGATGACATTGTTTCATCAGCTGAATGTTCCAGCGATGACGAAGACCTCATTGAATGTGAGCCGAGCACAGGTAAGTCAGGTCAGTCTTGTTTTGCTTGCTTTCTTATTTCATTTGCAAAAAACAATACATACATATAAATATATGTGTGCGTGTGTGTGTGTGAATGTATACATATATATAGCTATATATGTAATATACATATACATATATATATATATATATAGTATATAAAATACAAATTTATACAGCCAAGCATCAGATCCCATGGAGTTGGCAATAACAAAAGACAAAGATGTAATAACCTCTCAGTTAATGGAAAGCTGTTTTCACAGGAAGCCAAACTTCCTGGAATCAGCCCCTAATTAATTAATAGTTAACAGTTGTGCTACATATTTGTAGCAGCCATTGTGCTGCTCTATTGGAGAGGAAGAAATGGATGTGGTCCAAAGTATATATTAAAGGTGGAGGGACTGAGGGGCAAAAGAGAGAGAAGAGAAACTAAAGTTGGGCAATAATGAATGGTCAATATTATTTAATCTTCATTAATCGTCATTCTGAAGATATGCTGCAAAAATATATTTGTCCATGGGATTCTGAATGCAGTTAACATGGTACTATATTCATACTAGCTTTGTTCTCTGTGTGCCTAGAGAACTCTGGGAGTATCACAGTAAATGCAAAATTAGTATTAAGTTGTGCCATGTTACCTGCAATGATGCTTCAAAATGTATCCATTAAGAGTCAACAGGAGTGTAGCCATTTGAAACTGATTCGACTTCTCCCTTTAGACCCAGATACATTTTGATGGTTTGATGGCTTTACTTTCTGGTGAGATATATATGATGTGATATCCAGCAGGCAACTGCAGTCTGTTTTATTTCTTACAGACTTTTTCAAGTCGTCTTTTTGAGGCTTGCCATGAGTTAAGCATTTATATAATAGAGAACAGATATCATCGAATTTCTGTGTACATAAAAAAATGGAGTTTGGTTAGACTCTTACATCATTAAAGGTGAAACACATAAATAGTTTGTTTAATTTTTGGTTTTGTTTTGGTTTATTATTTGTTTGGGGTTATTTTTCTTTTTGCTAAAAAAAAACCCATAAAATGTTCTGTTCATAGTTTCCTGAAGCTTTTCAGATTAATATAGTCATAATAATAAAAGTCACCCAAAGATAGTGCTTTCATATTTCTTTTCCACCTTTCATAGGCAGCCTGTCTTTTTTTTTTTTTTTTGGTAGGACTTGGTCATTCAATAACTAACATGGCTTTGAACTGTAGCTGGGAAATTCCACAGTGGAACCACTAGGGAAGGCAGAGACACGCAAATGGTAGAGCCTCTATCCCTTCTACCAGATCAATATAAAGGCCTATGCACTTAGCCAGGCAGGTAGTTGAAACCTGTTCCTCCAACATTTTCATGCAGCTGGGGATACGTAACCAGACTCAGCTGTACCAACCAGTGCCCCACTGCCTGGCATTCAGCACGTCTTCTATAATCCACAGTGTAGTTAAGGCTGTTCTACATCCAAGCCTGGCAATCATGAGAGTAGATTAGCATGTAAACAGTTGACTCAGAGGTGGGTACCAGTGGCACAGTAAGACCTACCATAGAGACGGGCAGCGGTGAGTCACTGGGAATCAGCACAGTGGCGCCTCATTAAGGCAGGGCCATGGAATTTAGTGCCATACACGGACTGAAGAAACAGAAACTAATGGTTCATCCATTTAAAGACCCCTACTAATCTTCAAAGATCTCAATAAACTTTCTTTTTTACTTTGACTGTCAAAATAGAAGCATTTTCCTATCTTTATCAGCCTGCTACTCTTGTCCATTTCCTGCAGTCACATTGCAATAGAGTCATTGATTTATAGATTCGAAAGCCAAAAGTGACCATTTATTCTGATCTCCTTTATAACACAGACTTCCCCAAAATAATTCCTAGAGCAGATCTTTTAGAAAAAACATCCAGTCTGTGTCACAGATCTTTTCATGGTGATGAATTGTGATGGCACAGACTCTGAGAATGTAGCATCAGTGAACGAGTCAAGCCAGGAGGGAGCAGGCTTCTAAAAAAGGAAGGAGCCGTTGCATTAATAGTTTGAAATATTCCACTAGGTGCCTAAATACCTTTGAACATCTGACCTGTAGGGGCCAAAGTCCCATTGAAAGTATAAGTGACTTGGGCACTTTTGAAAATTTGGCCCCCAAACCTCTGTGCCTCCTATATACAATGGAGATTACCCCTCCCTAGTGCCTCATTAAGGGAGTAAGGTGATAAACTAAAGTCAGTGGAGTTCCTCAGGATTTACACTGGCTCTGAGTGGAGGAGTTGACTGGCCCACTGCGAAGTGATCTTTGCTGTGGATGCTCGCTTATGCACTTGGGGTTAAATCCTCTCAGCAGCACTAGTGTGCAAAGTCAGTAGAGGGAGAAGCAGCAGGGCTATATCAGTCCATGGTGCAAGGAGAGGTGGATGGCTAATGTACCAGACCCACGCACACACAGAGTTATGATCTGAAGACCTATGGTCACTCCTCCACTGGATAGCAAGTATGCTGCTGTGTGAAAAATTTCATGTTCTGTTCAGTGTAATTAAGCTGACTAAAGTCCTGATGTAGACACTCCTAGACAATGGAAGATTTATGCTGTCGACCTATGTATCACCTCTTGGAGAGATGGATTTACTAGAAAGGAATGAACTAGATGGAAGAACCCCTTCTGATGCCGTAGTAAGTGTCTGCACTACAGTGGTGCAGCTGTGCCGCTATAACGTTTCTAGTGTAAACATACCCTCAGTGTCAGAACCCACCCCACCCCCCAATTTCAAAGGAAGTAGAATGGCCCTTTTGGTATTTCTGAAATCAGCAGCAAAGTGCATGGGTCCCTTGAACCATCCTGCCCTGGTCAGCAGACTCCTGTAGTGGAGGGTGCATTGGACATGTCTTAGTACCCTCTTGCTTCACGAGCCAGGGCAGGATTTGGCCCTTTGCAAGGATCTCTCACTTTAGCGGATACCCCAGAGGGAGAAAGAACCAGAGGGTTTTACTTGTGTTTTTAATCAAACTCATTTAAAGTTGCTTCCTCTTGTTCTGCTGGCAGGCCAGTGTATTTTACACCACCCTGTGGCTTTCCTGTTCAGTTCTGCAACAAATTGGAAATTAAATGACAAACTCAATTCAGGCCCCAACATGTTCCTCTGATAATCGGTAGCCTTTAAAGCCCCTGAGTTTGTTCCAGATGCCAGGACATGGCCTTGCTTCACCCCCAGAGGTATGATCCAGTAACCTATAGGTTACTGCACACAAATGGTTACCCCGCTGCAGCTGTGAGATGTGATGCATACCAGAGTAAGGTCATTGTGCAATACACAAGCACAATGAGTCACGGTCAGGAGAGAGTCTCCTCCTTCAATTCAAAGCCTTTCAGATTTCATGTGAGTTAGACTCCAATCCTCAGAGCCAAATATATTCCTATGATTTTTGTTCTGGGTCCAATCCGAAACCCAGGGGAGACCATTTTCAGATTCTGGTTTGAATGTATTTAAAGATGGCAGAAAATCATGAGATTTGCATCTCTTTGAGGTCAAAAATGTCATGAGAACTACTTGTGAGATGTCAGCACCATTGAACCCAAGGCTTTATTACGCATTGAATCCAAACCTTAAACCTCAACATACAGCTACTCTGAATCCAAATACCTCTAGCCCACTTCTTTAAAAGTAAAAGATGGATAAAAAAGAAATTTCCATCTCCATCTCTTTTTCGTATCGGGGCTGTGCTGGCCAGCTCCCAGCACAGCAGGGATGGCAGGCAGCTTGCACCTCTACAGGCAAACTTACTGCTCCTAGGAGCCTGCAACCTGCATGTCAGTTGAACTCCCTATTTATACCCCAGGTTCTGTCCCTGACATTCCTGTCCTGACTCGGATAGAGCTTGGGACCATCTGTCATGTAACCACACATACCTATGGAAGTGTACCTAAAAAGCAGTGGTAGCACCATAAATGAGTCTAATAACAATCCCTGTGAAAAGTAATAACAGAACTAAAGATAAGAAAGTTGACATTCATCCTAGTGCCCTAAATACCTCTCATATGCCACTTAAAACCCAAATACAGGGGTAAAGTAGGACTTAAATGGCACATAGGGTCCTGGGGAGAAAGTCACCCAAAATGGAGAGATTTCCCTCTTCTGCATTGGCGCTGAATTGCTTGTTATAATCAATTCTCTAAATGTGCCAAAGACACCATGTTTATATCTGGGTCTGGATTTCAAATACTCCCAAAGTCTGGGTGCTCAGGCCAAAGGTGTTGTTTTAGCCCATTCTAAAAGTAGGAGTCATTTGTGCAATTCAGTTCCAGATCCTGGTTCAGATTTCTCACACCCCCAAAGTTGGGTCCAGTGTCTTGGCACAGCATGTTGGAGAAAGAGGCAGCCACTGTGCTGTTCTGATCATGCAGCTACAATCAGTGGGTGGAAGATTTTTAAGGCTATTCTGTGCAATGTTTGAACCTGGAGGGTATTTGTGTGTCTGAGCTATAAGGCCCCAGCAAAATGAGGAGTAAATCTCCTCTGCCTTTAACACAGCCTCCAGTGTCCTGAAAATCATGGTTCTCTTTTCTTAACAGCTGCTGTTTTAACCCAGCACCATTACCCTTTCATCTGTCAAGTTTGTCCTTATAACCCTTTGGGACTGACTCAGATTAAATGCATATAATTGGGCAGTGAGTTGGAAGTGCAGCCCAGCACACTTATGGTATTAGTCAAAACAACAATACCCAAACACTTGCCAGTAATCCAAGATCCTGTAACATAACCTCTAGGAACGATCCACAGCTATGAGGTAAACCTCCCAGGCCCCCTGGGTTCACACAGACAGTGGGTTTCTAACTGCTTTGGTTGCAGGCTTCTAGTTTTTACTAGCCTGACTGACTTTCCCAGCCTTTTTCAAGAAGAATTTATTCAGTGTATTTCATTCATCCAAAAAACTTAATAACCTCAGGCTGACTCTAGCAAATCAGACCAGAAGGCTTTTCCCAGGAGGGAGTCAGTGTGCCAAACCTTCA